ATATTATTCTATCATCAGATAGGCTTCGGACCCCAAATTGCACATGACGAAATATTTTACAATAATATGATGACTGTTTTATTAATTCGAATTAAAATGATTTTAGATCATGCGATGAATTTTCTTCTTGATGAAATGAAATTGAACTCGAATAAAAACATAGCCAGTTAACCTTTATAATGACACCCATTGTCTTAATATTCACCTTAATCTGTCAACTATACAGATAATCTCATTGTAATCAAGAGAATTTGAGACTTAAACATGCATTATGCAAGAGCAAAATCTGCTTATTACAAGTCTTTCTTTAGGCCTGAAGTGTTATCTAAATTATCAATTAGACATTAATTAACTTATCCAGACCATAATAAACTCTCGATATCAAGGCTAGCCTTCGATGTTGACTGGATTAGATTCCTATATGCCGCTAACGGCTATTGATAATTAAATTAAGAAAAGTGGATAATCGAGACTATGCTGTGTATATTAATGATTTTAGTAATGATGACCGAGACTATGCAAAGATTTCACCCGCTTCTTTCTCAGCTCATAGTGGATCAATTTGACTGAAATTTTTAGCAAATTACCTTTACACTATCTAGTTTTTAACTATTATAGCGAGAACTGTTATCTCTTTATCTTATCTCCCATAATGTATCTTTAATCAATTTGAAGATATTAGAAATAGAAACATTCGGTCATGTTTCTAGTGGGAAAAAATGGTAAACTATGAGGAACACTTGACTTGATTTTTAATAAAGAATAATTTAATCCATTTATCATCATTTATATTTACTACAAGCAAACAGACTTTGAGGAAAATGTAACAGGTTTTTTTTTTTTTTTTTTTTTTTTTGACTTTGATGTCTTCATAATAAACTTAAACGTATCATTACGTTTAAGCCATGCAATATAGTGATATACATTTTTGGACCAGGAACTGGTCGCTAACCACTACTTATCTTGTTTTTGTTCTTCTTGGGGTGACGCTATTCGAAACAGCCTAAGGCTCCGTCTATTCAAGTCCGATAGAGTCGAAAATTGACATGCTTCTTCTTTGAACAATTCTGCATCGATTTGATGAATTAGATTTTTTAATTTCATCGAACAACATGGACAGTCCCTGGTCCATATACGATCGTACTTGTTTTTATAATTCTTTCTACAAACATCAATTTAGTTTTATAATCTATAGAAGGGAAAAGAAATGAAATGAAATGGGGTTTAACGTCCTACTGTTCTGCTCCTAACCTGGGCTAATGAAGACGGGCATACGCCATACAGTTTGCTATGAGGGAAATTTTGCCCGGGCAGCGGCGCTACGGCCTACTCTTATATCGAATTCCAACTGCCATGGGATCTTTTACGTGCACGCCAATGTGTACACGGGACCTCGGTTTTTCGTCCCATCCGAACGACTAGACAGCTGTTCTTGTCAGGCCCTCCATCCTGCATCACTGACAAGGGGAAACCACTCCGGAAAATCTGAATGAACTTTCTCGGCCAATGCAGGGATCTATAGAAGGGCTCTTTCAGAATGCCATATTTGTAAGACCAAGAACTGGTCAAATTGATTAATTTTTACAATTGTGAAATGTTCCCAAGGACAGCAGTTTGAATTTTTTATTATTATAATAGATTTAATCTTATTGGACAGTAATTATAAGAATGGAAGTAGTAGAATTGGACAAAATATCCCTAGATACACCAGCGACTATGGCGTTACAGGGAATAAAAAACGTTTGAGGCCGACCGTGATTCGATTGTTTCTGACATAAGAGATTTAGTATTGTTGAGACCATAAAATAGCAAACAGCTAGAGATTGATTGCTTCATTGATGAAATCCCTGTGAGACTCTGCTCTGGACCAATGGAGATGATCATTTCTGATGATTTAATATTGCCTTGGCTTCTGGTAGCATAGCGTTGATTTCGAGTAATGATGGAATAATAAAAACAATAAGATTTATTTTTTGTTTCGAAGCGGTTGGTTGGTTTGTTTGCTAATAGTTAAATCTTGACATTGGTTCAATCATGGAGAAAGATGCTCCTTCGCAAAATAAATTTATTCAACATATCAAATTGAATAAAATCGATATTATTATTTTTTATTGCCCAAGTATGTACATATACCAAAAAGCTTCATGCGAGCCTCATCATAAAGCTCATATTGAAATCCTAAGAATGGTAATGAGCTTTTGAAGTTTATATTTTTTTTATGACGGCTTCGTCCTGCGTCTGTAACCATTCGACTAAATATTTGATTTATAATAGCTAACATCGACATTTAGACATTATCCAATAGCCTGTAAATTTTGTTTTAATTTTTCAGTCGGTATATATATTTAATTTAATAAAAGATCTTTTGATCCTCAGTCATGTGTTCAATTCAAAAGATAAATCAGACGATAAGAATACTGTACCATCATCAATACGATATCCCTTTAAACGGGGTGTGTTTCATTCAAGCCTAGACATGTTGTAAATTAGGAAATGAAGCGACCTATTTTTGATATAATGTTTGTTCGTGGTCAATTCAATGAATGGCATGAAGGGCGATAATCTGTTATTTATAGTATCCTAGTAATATTAGTCTGTGTATAGTCTGTATCACTAGTTTAAGTTCTACGTACACGAAACGATCTTTTTTTTACAGGGGCTTTCATATTTTAGCCCCTTTTGTAATCTGCCGGAGCGTAACGCTACCATAAAAATTCTCTCTATCTTGTTTAATTAATGTATAGAGCAGCTTATGATTTATGTTTTTTTTAAAAACAAAATCAGAAATATTTGGTTATTAAATAACAAAAATGTGCACAGGTTCATAAATCTATTATTATTTGTAGATAATTGTACGTAAGCAAACTATAAAATAAAATTAATGCTGATGGGGAAATCGAAACCTATTAAAGGTGCAGTTTGTAAGATTTAGATAAACAGCTTGTTGTTCTTGTTATAATAGTTCCAAAATAGATAATGCAAAATAAATATATTGAAAATCTCAGTCAAATTCCTTTATTCTGAGCGAATTTTTTAATCGAGACTCTTTAAATTTTAATCATTAAATGGAGATTGTGATTCAAACAGTTTAAATCCTCGTCATCTGATGGTCTAGAGATTTGATTATAAACCGCTTGTCATGTGAATAAATGTCTAAATAATAGTTTATATAACATTTGAAGCACTCCCCCCGACTCCTCCCCCTATAGACAGATTTAGCTCTTACATAATGCATCTTTAAACACTTTTACAATGACTTGTTTTTCTTTTAAAAAATCGCGGACTCAACATGGTAGTTTTCCGTAACCTATGCTCCGAAAAGTAACCGATCGTGGGCGTTGGACTTAAATATCCAAGATGTCCAATTATGTGATGAACTGAATACAACGTGTGAATAGACAGCCCAACCTATATTTATATCTATATATGAGCTGCTTTACATTGATATCAATAAGTAAATAAAGATAGTTAGGCCACTGTAATAAAATCTTTTGTATCGTCTTTATGCTATTGTTCAGTAGCTTAGCTGAATTAGCGTTTCTCTCGTATTACTCACCTGTGGGGCCATAAATACTGATGACTAAATGAATGAATATTTCTTCACATCCTTCAATAAGTGATATTTTTTAAGCACAAAGTTGAAATACACAAAGCTATGTCCTTTCAGTCGATATTCATTCTTTATACACTTTTAATGTATGGAGAAATTTGAATTTGAAGTAATGATAGTTAAAGTGCACGTGTTGTTAAATTCATATTTATTTTAGACCGTTTAGTATGGAAAATTACTGGAGTTCTCCGATATTGTCTTCCATTTCCATCCACAAGACAATTGGTCTTATATTTTATTCATTATATAAATTTAATGTCACATATCGAGAAATTTGAATTTGAATTGATAATGAGTAAAGTGCACAATGTGTTTATTAATTTATATTTAGATTAGGCTTTTAGTATGGACAATTAAATGTCCTCGATTTCAATTCATATGGTAATTGGCCTTATGTAACTTTAATGTATGCAGAAATTTGAAGTAATGATAATTAAAGTGGACAAAGTACACGTGTTTATTAAGTTATACTGGAGTTCTTTGAAAATGTCCATATTTTGAATGGGACATGTGGTCCCAATTGAACATTTCGTAAAATTCGAATTGATCTTATTGATGATTGACGTGCTTTGTTTTGATTGACTTTAGATCTAACTCCTGATCTGTAAACATATTTTCTCTGAACTAAAGAAACATAATTAAGGGGAAACTCTGGAAGCGGTGTCCTGATGAAAGTAAAGGTTTAAGCATTTGCTATCTTTAATTGTTAATTAATATTGTGTTCCTCTTTACAAATAGGTGGATGATTTGGCTATACATTCGAGAAAGTAATCAGGTAATTAGGTTAAAGATGCATTATGTAAAATTTAGATAAAGAACTAGCCATTCTTGCTATAATAGTTCGAAAGTAAATGATGTAAAATGAATAATTTGAAAATTTCATTTAAATTACTCTATTGCAAGCGAAGATGTTAGCCTTTGAAGGTTTGACAGACGTGTGCAATAATTTCAACCACCGTACTGGTTGATCGAAGCTAAGTCTCTCGGTCCTCCATATTTGATTAAATCAAAGCATCGCTGAACCATTCTAATCTATTTAATATCGGAGAAATCTGATGCCATCGAGAGTTGATTAAGGCCTGGATCAGTTAATTAATGTCTAATTAATACTTTAGAAACATTTCAGGCCTAAAGAAAGACCTGCAATAGGCAGATTTAGCTCTTGCATAATGCATGTTTAAGTATTTTGGTTTTGAAGCTTTAGAAGATCTACAGTTATTATTCAATAGTAGTAAAAGTTAATTTGACCTTAGATTGATAACACAAATAACGAATTTGCCGACATCTATCCTATCGTGTAAAATATGTTTCAACGGATAAGTAAAACACAACTGCATAAAACAAATAACTATTTTCTGTTGCCTTAAATTATACGGACCCGTGTGATACATGTCATTTTACGAGCCACTGACAAAGTGAACTATTCGTAGTTGTCAATAGGTGGAACGCTTTTGTAACACCGTGAAGAGAGAGAGGAAGGGGACAGATTAGCCCCGTTTCGGCTTAATTTGGATCTGACGAAATTTTCTTGAAGAAAAATGAAAGAATCAGTTGAAGTGATTCATTTGACGTTTATACATGGCCGACACGAGATCTATTACGTCGACCGAAGATAAAGATTCGGTGACGTCAAGCGGTGGAGTTTTTAGCCGAGTGTTCCATCGTTTGAGTCTTCGGAGAAAATCTTCACTAAGCCGCGGCGATGGAAGGCGATCGCTTCGTATATCCAGAAAGACCAAATCCTTTGACAATTCCTTTCTTAGACCTGATGTTCATATTCGTGATTATCAGAACCGATACTCGGACGTTGAGAGTAGGAATAGTTTAGACGAATCAAGCGAGGACTCTGTGGATTATTCTACAAACTTCAAGGTAAGCCATGTGATTGATTAGTGATTAAAGTGTATGCACCTTGCCTCTAAAATAAAACAGTTTACGATGTGTCCCGTTAAGGCAAACCACCTAGGCTGATTCTGATTACATGGATTTTCGAATGGGTTTCTTGGTTATGCAATATATGCCGGTATGCTATTTAACAAAGAAACATCGGTTCAAATGAAAATCGCAAATCATCAGTTCAATTGAAAATCGCAAATCGGGCAGATTTTGAAATGACGCACAATACTACCGAAAATCCGTCATATTATTTGAAGAAGCAATGAAACATGTACCGTTCCGTAAAATCTTTATAAAGTGTCTGTTTTATTAGCATTTTATTTGTCAGTAGTAATGGCGTCTGTTATCAATATATTAAACTATATATATGATTAAATTACAATCTGGGGGCCACGGTGGCTAAGTGGGTAGGACACTGCCTCGCTAACCTGGGTGTCGGGTGTTCGATTCCTGCATTGGCCGAGAAAGTTCTTCCAAATTTCCCGGCGTGATTCCCATTTGTCAGTGATGCAGGAGGGAGAACCTGACAAAGACAGCTGTCTAGTCGTTCGGATGGGACGAAAAACCGAGGTCCCGTGTGCACATTGGCGTGCAAGTAAATGATCACTTGACAGATGGAATTCGATATAAGAGTAGGCCGTAGTGCCGCTGTCCGGGCAAAATTTTCCTCATGGCACACTGTATGGCGTATGCCCGTCTTCATTAGTCCAGTTCGGAGCAGAACAGTAGAACGTTAAACCCCATTTCATTTCAAATTACAATCTATAATGCAATCATTATAATGCAATCATTGATTTGATTAGTTATCTAGACCGGGGTCATGGAATAATTCACACATATCTCAAGGATTATATTGTACTATTTTAATGTTGTTATCTTGTAATCAAACACATCGAAGTATAAAAGCCTTTGTGAACAATGGGCTGAAATGCAAGAAATGGTAGAATTATTATTACATGTACTTTATTTATCAAAGATAAATAAGTTGCTGGCGTGAATTTCAATATATAACCCATTTGAATGACACATGAATGGCATAATCAGTGCTCACTCCGGAATCCATTTTTCCCGCCAATTTTTTCATTTTAATTTATTAACCATATATTTTTTCCGCCAAAATTTTTCTTACATTTTTACTTTCAATATAGATACTTAAAATTACGATGTTATAATTTACAAATTTCTTCTCTGGTTGCAGAGGTCATTTTTGGAGGCCTTTTTAGTACACTACAACCTGTTGTAAATGAATTTGTAAAGTTAGCTGATTCACATATAGAAGAAAACTTTGTTTTGGTAGCTGCATCATACCTTAAGCAAGGAATTGAAAATTTCCATTCATCCCTAAAAAATCTACAATATCTAAACGCACTTAAAATTTTACGCTTTTCCATAATTATATGGAATACAAGTTACTTAAAAGTTATTTGAGTATTTTTTTTTTTTTTTTTGATTAATGTGTTTTTTACGGGTTTTATTTTAAATTAAACACTTTTGACATTAAACTTCCTAATTAACTTTTATTCTGGTATGTTGGGGCTTTTATAATTCATGTTCCAATACGATACAAGAGCACTTGTCGAAACGTCGTATCCCGTGTATAATAAACCAGTGATTGTGTTCAATATAAATTGTTGCCGTGTTTTAATTTGCTCAATCGATAAATGGCACTCATGGATAATTGAAAATCAGCAACAAGCGGTTTATTTTAATATTGAAAAACAAATATTAATTACATTTTCATACAATATATAGACACAGAAAGAATCACAGAAAACGAAGCACATATATTCTGCATCCTTGCTATAATTTGAGTTGTTAACATTCAATTGTGTTAATGTGAAAATTTGTATATGCGATAATTTGATGGCGTTGGCGTTTTTACCTCATGCGTTTTTTGGTTACAGAAATATAGCGGGTAATACGGATTAGAAAAAAAAATTTTCCTAATTGAAATATTATTAATTTCATGCTTGACAGCCCTTTATTAATATACTGTAGTTACTTCAATTAGATGTTTAAACTGTATACACTGTAATTTTAGGTCTATTCAATACCTGTTTAACAAGACAGCTAAACGATGTCGCTTATTGTAAATGATGTATAAAAACATTGTGTTATCCATTGAGTAAACTTAACGCATCGTATCAAATTTTTAAAAAAATAAATTCAATAACTCCTACATGAATCAAATTATGTCATCTTACATTATGGAAGCATTGCAGACTTGGCTTCTACCTGATACTGCTTCTCGAATTGGTATTATAAATGGCTTCTCGGTTGGTTTCCCAACATAATTCAACTGATCATCACATTCTTAATTGATAATGATCTTCTCTGTGTTAATAGCGTGGGTCTTCAGCTTTCTTATTTACATCGCCAAATTCAGTGCACGATGGGGTAACTTATTTGGAGGAGATAGGCGAGGTAGTAGCGGGGTCTTGCAAGAAATTACAGCGATTTATGTGACATTATTCGCTGCTTACCGAATTTATCCATTGTTATTGAATACAGTAGTACTTGAATACCTATACAAAGATTTTATGGTTCACCCCCAAAGTTTGAGTTGCATAGAAATTTCACGTTTTATTACCCCTATACGATGCAATCGTTACAATCTAGGTGGATATTTCCACTGATATCTTCATTGGATAGCTAGCTGTAGTATGTCTGCAGGCCTTGACACTTATAGCATGTCAACTACAAAATTGTTATCAATAAGAAAAAATGTGACCCAGTTTAATATAAACATATTGACAATCTAGATTTATTCACTCTATGGTACACAGTTATATGAATATGAATAGTCTGAATGCAAGAATACAACAAACCACTCTTATATGTTGATGACGCGAAGTAGAGTATATTTAAAAATTATGTGGCGTCATGGTATCGGCGCTGTTTGTCCTTGTCAATTGGGTAGGATGGAGGACCTGGCAAAAACAGTGTCTCGTCGTTCGGATGCACGTAAAAGAACCCTTGACAGATGGAATTCGAAATAAAAGTAGGTTGTGGTGTCACTGTCCGAGCAAAATCTCCCCAAAGCGCACTATATGACGTAAGTCTGTTTTCATTAGCCTAGTCGGTGCAGACAAGCAGGACGTTAAACACCTTTTCATTCATTCGTTTGGTGATATTAACTGACTACGAAAATATACTTTACTGAAATTTGTAAAAAAACTAAAAGTAAAAAGGGACATTTTTATTTCGTAGTGGTAACATAAATGTTCAAGATATAATAAGAATTTACTATAGTAGGCTACACTGGAGGCCGGATGTGTATGCTCAAACTGCTGAGGCATATCTATGCATTTGGAATATTTATATACAACCAAGAGCAGTCGGTTCATCAAACAGTAACCATTAATTTCTAAAGGTAGCATCTCTTATCAACATTCATAATGACTGTTCCAGAAATCTATAATAAAGTTTAAAACCATACGCAATCAAAAGTACAAGTAACGTGTTATGTTTCTGTTGATTTCACATCGTTTTTTTTCTGTACAATTACAACATGCCATTGAAACAATTTAAGATAAACAAAGTAATAATATTCTGCTAATGTTTCGTACAGCCCTGTCCATCTTTCTGAGTTTCTTTTCTAAACATATTGTATTGGCTACCTTTTAGTACCCATTTACACAATACAATGTATCATTATACTGTATATTATTTAGTATACAAAACATTATAATACACAAACATTGTATTATTGTATTGTATATTATATACACATATACAAACACTATTATACACAAACGAAATGTTTTTTCTTTAGTTATAGCTGTTTGATCAGCGAATTATTTTACTGAATACATGTATAGTGAACGTGTCCATGAATGTGCATTATAGATTGACATGCATGTTGATGTAGCTTAAATTTAAAACGCCAAGTCATCTTTAAGATCATATGGAGGATAAGCAATGACATTTTATCGTGAATATGTTTCCTATCGACGTCAATGTTTTATCAAATCTGAGTATAATAGAATACACGATCATCACGTTATCGAATAATTACCCATTACTTATTTATTTGATGCGCCCAAAAGTTGTTGGATATATAAATAATCATAAGTGATTTCCTGTGTGAACCTATTAAAATTTTGTTTGTTGATGCAAGATGGAAGGTCTGACAAGGACAACTGTCTAGTCGTTCGGATGGGACGAAAAACCGAGGTCCCTTGTACACCTTGTCCTGCACGGTAATCTTTGTCTTTGTTGCTACCTTCTGTTTTGACGACGCTTTGCTTGTTATGACCGTGCCCATACATAATGGTCACATCTTGACCTGACATTAATGTAAGAACCTATCATCTGATTTGTAACATGCTATGAATGACAGTGGGTAGTCGGGTGTTGAGGATGTACCATCCTACAATTTACACCCGTATGGATAAGTGAAGTAGGGGCTTGTTGCTCATGTTTGAGAAGGCAGGACAATGTCAAGTACACTATAAAACAGGTATAAGGACTCTTAAGTATGTCAATATTGTGATTATCCAGTATTAGTTGTTCGATTAAGGAATGTCATAGTTTCTAATGACAAGGATGGGAATAGGGATCCCCACCCGCCCCTTCCACCTCCCCTTTCAATTGATTTTAAGGTACGGATATATACTCATGAAGTCAGGTATCTTCTACAACAATACCCAGATCTGTATTTCAACCTTTAAATCATACAGAGAGATGATGGAGGGTTTTACCGGAAAAAAGGACGAGCTAATACTGGCAATAATTTTTGTTCAGATTTCTTGAATTTTAATAGTGGCGTAGAAAAATTTGCTACTAGTATATTTTAGTTACTTAATTTTTTACTATAACATATTTCCCGGTTTTCTAAATATCCGTACAAGTTTATGTATAGTTTGTGTGTTTTATGTATTTCAGCATGAAACATTATATAGAGGTTTATTACGGAATTTACTACATCCGTTGGGTACAACTGATAAACGTGTGGGACTACGACCTGGTGACTTGATAGATCATCTTAGGGAGGTAAAATAAAATACGTTACTGCTACAAAAGATGCGTTACGGTAGGATTGTGCCTATTGAGTTCACGATCTGGTACGTGCAGATACGTTCGGATACGTTTCGATACGATCAACACGATTGCTACGACTGACCACAGTATATGATAAGACCTGATAGGATAACCACGTTACTCCACGATTAAAAGCACGATTTCAATCGTAGCGCGAATCGTGATAGTGGGAACCTAGCATTAGGATGGTATGGGTCATTTACCTTGGCACCTTTAAGACAAACAGTCATGTGACTGCCTCTATTTCTACTGAAACGAGTTCATGGCAAGGATGGGGATTGCTGCTGTATTTAGTGCAGTATTAGTTCATCTCATCCATGCATTCCATACACGGTGGCTAGTTGGTTAAGACGCTGGCTCGCTAGTCTGGAAGTTGGGTGTTCGATCCCTTCATTGGCCGATAAAGTTCATCCAGATTTTCCGGCGTGGTTTCCCCCTTGTCAGTGGTGCAGAACGGAGGGTCTGACAAGGACAGCTGTCTAATCCTTCGGATGAGACGAAAAACCGAGGTCCCGTGTATACATTGGAATGCACGTAAAAGATCCCTTGGCAGTTGGAATTCGATATAAGAGTAGGCGATAGTGCCGCTGCCTGGGCAAAATTTCCCTCATAGCACACTTCATTAGCCCAGTATAGGAGCAGAACAGTAGGACGTTAAACCCCATTTCATTTCATTTGTATTCCATACACCTAAACACATACTTTTAATGTCATTTCAGATAGCTTTCACCCCGGAAAAAGAAAAATGTCGTGTTGAACTTTAGAACTCGAAAGAGATAGGCACTAATCAATACTGTCAACCCTGTGATTACTCAAACATTTCCGTAAATCTCCTTAACTACGTAGTAATAATGACAAAATATTTGAACTAGAGATAAAAGTTCTGTTAGTAAAATCTTAAAATCAGCAGAATACGAAACAATATATGATTTTCCTATTTTATTTTTCAGGTATTTGAAGTTGATCAGTATGACCACGAAAGGTATCTGAGACAAGAAATTCATAATAAGGTTCGTTTATGATTCATATACAAATGATTTTATATTAATACCCTTCAAAGCAACAAATTAATACGTCTCAGTGAATGAACAAGGAAGGAATATAAGAATAATTACTAGATGTTATCATCAAATCCAAATTGTTATTTCAGCCAAGACAGATGATGCTTGGAGTGAGGGTTATAGAAGCTAAATATGTTGATATAGCTGATAAATATAAAGGTATAAAACTGATTTTATCATTCAACGGGCCTACGCATTATTCATTTATAATCATTGAAGCACATTATTTAAAATGCACATAATTATAGAATGTCAATGCACATAGATTATTATACAAAATAATGAGTAATCCATTTTAAAATGCTATTGTTGTTATTACATAGACGACGCTCATTTTATCTTTGACTAACCTACACGCATTCTTTATTTTATTATTCATTAATACAGTTAATGATTCATTGTATATCCATCCATACACATGTCAACGATTTTTCGATTTTTTTTCAAAATTTAAGACCCATAATGAACGACTTCGTGAGGTACAATCTTTTACAACTGGATTCATAAACTAGACATGGGAAAACACTTGATTTTCGGCGACCTATAATTTCATTAATTATTCACTTTTGTTATAAATATATCATCTTTTATAATTACAGATTACAAGCCTTACTGTGTTCTACAATTATCGTCAAATCCCAGAAGGTCGAGAAATGCTCAGTTATCAAAAGTTTCTTTTAAACCTTCACCGAAAGTCAGTCCGAAAGGCAGTCCGAAAGGAAGCCCGTTATTAAAACGACTAGAAATGCCAATTACAATCATGAAAACTCAACTAGCTCATTCTCTTGAACAACCGAACTGGAATGAAGAATTTCAGATGTAAGTACATTGTTCACTTTGTGTATATTTTCGTTACATCAATATATATTATAAGTTAGCATTCTCTGTTTAGGTTAAGCATAGTGTTAAATAATTTGATTGTTAGTTTCTTAAAGGAGCTAAATCGCTAATATTTGGGATCTAGAAATTGACACAAATGGGTCGCAACGCACATAATAATGTAATATGAATGCATATAAACTGATTTACATTCAATAGTTTTTGTTTTTACTCTAATTTCTAATCAGTTATGTTCTGCGAAATACGCCAGAAGTCTCAATCGAATTGAAATCTCTAGTGTCTGGTTATTCCAGTCTACACCGATAGTATTTATTGCGCATGCTCTCCAGATAAGAATATGATGTCACCGTTTGACATGACTTGTTGAATATGCTTAGCCCGGTTTTCCGAGTTCCTTGTTACAAATGGCGATGAAACGCATTATGGTACACGATTCGTGTACCAATGGTAAAATGTTTATTTTGTCTTGAATATTGGATATCGGAAGCCCATGTTTTCCCGGTAAGATCACAACATCAATGTTGATTTAAATTGACAAATAATTCGCGTTTTGAATGTTGAAGATTTTGGATGATATTGAGTTAGAGACTTAGCTACTTTAAATATACATAATGTAAGATTTAGATAGATAAAGAGCTGGCCGTTCTTGCTATAATAGTTAAAAGTGGATAATGCAAAATGAATATATTGAAAATTTCATTCAAATTACTTTATTCTGGGCGAAGATATTAGCCTTTGAAGGTCTGAGAAGATGTGTGCACTGATTGTAACCATCCCCCTGGCTGTTCGATGCTTAACCTCGCTTCACAATTTTAAGATTAAACCATTAAATGGCCAAACCGTTCTAATCTACTTTAAATCGGACCTGTCTCATGACATCGAGACTTGAGTATGGTCTTATCATGTAAATAAATTCTAATTAATATTTTATATAACATTTAAGGCCTAAATAAAGACCTGCAATAGGAAGATTTAGCCCTTTCGCAATGCCTGTTTAATAGAAATATATGTATAAATTATGCCAATGTCTTCAGTCGACATCGGCTCTCACTATTAGCTTGTTTTATATATTGCTTCTCAATATTATGTTGCAGGAAAGTAACAGAACTGTTGTCAGATGAATTACATATTTTTGTTTTTCAACAAAATTCTGGCAACGAGAAAAAATCTGAAAAAAAGAAACAATTTCGGGGGTAGGTTTTGAATTCCTTGTAACATTTCAAAATACAATACAAATCAAATAATGCAGATCCTTTTCGGATCACTGATAATTTAGCAATTTCCATTAAAACATCGTAATGAATATGTGATGAATATTTATGAAATTTTTTCAGGTTATTCAAAAAATTGTATCTTGAGAAAAACTTAGATGTGAATATCGGTTCTATTGTTATACCAGTAAGGGTAAGAATGGTTATACTTTGTTTTAAAAAAAATGTACTTGTATATTATTTGTCATATTGATTGCTCAAGTGACATTGGTAATACTTTATATCACAGTTTTTTATTAATAGCTTGGATTTATAAGTTAATATACTTCACAATAATGAATTTATTCAAGGCTGTACTGCTTTAATTAATTTGATATTTATGATGTGTATCTAATTTCCCCGCTTTTAACTGCCTTTGCTTTTGTAAAATAAAATTGACCAGGATTATCGTCCATTTGTGTAATTTTGTTTTTTTTTTATTAATAGGATATACCGGTACAGGGTGTAAACGCTTGGTTTGATATTTTTCCCGTGGATGGTACTAAAACACAACCTCGTATTGGACAGTGCCATCTACAACTGTCATTATCTCATGTTCAGGTAAAAATAGCAATGTAAATTTATGTTATTTCTTTTATATAATCTCGCAGTATGTTCTAAAAAAAACCCTCAAATTTCCAATAAATTTAACACGAGTATTATCTTTTATATAATCTCGCAGTATGTTCTAAAAAAACCTCAAATTTCCAATAAATTCATCACGGGTATTTTTTCTACAAATTCGATCCATCTAATAAATTGGTTTTTATTGCAAAAGGCGTTATTATCTGGTTTTAACTATAATCATTTAGTTATATATTGGACAACAATCACTGGTTTAGTATGGGACGTTTCGATAAGCTTGATAACTATAACAGGATACTTATATAGAAACGTCGCACTTATAATATATACTAAACCAGTGATTGTTGATCCATATAACTGTGTTAGTTTTGGTTATTAACTAAGTGTATTATGTATATATTTTAGGATAGTCAGCATATGTCTTTGTTCTCAGCTGAAGATTATCATCAAGCATCATTACAGTTTCATCAACATAGTATTTATGTAGCCGAGGTAAGAATACACATTATGTTTTTCTTTTCTTTTTTTTTTTAAATTGGGGTTATATGAATTATGCGAATTAATATGTCGACGATATTAAGCTTGAAACCTGTTAATTAAGCATATGGTAAATCGCTTCAATATTATATAGAATTTACATGTATTTAAAATGCCGAGCATTCCATGGGGTTAATCTTGAGAAATAGGTGTGAATGTAAAGGAGAATTAATGATATGTCGACGATTATCGATCCAATATTATGACATGTTGTCGATTATCGATCCAATATTAGAATATACATGTACTTAAAATGCTGAGCAATTAATTTGAATGTAAATGTTTGTCATGTTTCAGAAAGAATTAAAGAAAGAAATGTCTTTATCCGATAAAAGTCGAAGATTGTTGGATGTTTTTGCCAGTGCTAACAGAATCTCACCATTGTCTCAGTCCATAATGTAAGTTCTCATTTTTCTGTCAGTATCATTCGAAGTCCTATTTTTATTTTTCGAGCGGGTATCCCGACGAACAGAAGATCCTACTGGCATGAGCAATATGGCATCATTAACAGATACATTTTGTTGTCAAATCTAGATAATTATAAAATTTATGGTCGGTCGTAACTGGTAATCAAGAAACGAATCTCATGAAGTATTTGACAACCACCGAAATGTTAAATATTTTGAACGTAAAAGTACAGAATAAATGTTTTAACCATTGTGCGGACACGTCGCACAAAAAACGTTGTCGGCAACAAGTGGTATTCTCAGACCCCAGACATAAATAGGTTTTTGTATGCATAATTTTATTCAAATACGATCAAACTAGAGCTTCATATAAAGACTGAGAAATAATCAATCAAAGCAAGAAAAAAACATTTGAGGTATTAACAGTGAAGTCAGATATGAATTATAAAGTATTTTTGAAACCATCAAAATCTACAAATAGCTTAATTATCATTTCCAATGTAGAATCATCTTTTGACGGGGTTGGTAGAGTACCTAGATTTGTTTTCAGACAAGATTGATCTAAATCTTAGTAGTATACCAGTAAATGTATTTATCTGGATGTGTTTCAGGGATTTAACAATATTATTGGAACTGGCATCCGGAATTCATCATAGACTTATTAAAGATGCAACTTTACGTAAGGCAGTGGAGGCTGTATTAATCATATGGATGGCTAAACAAGTCGGCAACAAAACATTTACAGAAAGAATGCCACTGAGCGATGCAGAGGTTGGTATTTTGTTTGTTTGGTTTCTAAAATGTCGTATAATTTGTAGAGAATCATATCAACGAAGCTTTTATGAATGACCAGAATTAACTCATGTTGTATGTCCAGTGAAATAAAATGGCATATAGTAATTGACAAACATAAATAAATAAAAATAACTATCTGGAACAACAAAATACTTACATTTAATTGCAGTGACGTTTCAACTAGGCTTCTCTATAGTCACCATTGTCAATGGTTTAATGTCCATTTAACGATCTTTAAATTATCCAAGTATGGTAAAGTGGTCAATAACTTCCCTCTAAATTCGTAACAGGAAGTGTTTATCTCCTAAATAAACAATAATACATTTATTAGCATTTTCGCCTTTCACTAATATCCATATTTACAAGTCTTGATTAGATAAAAAAAAAGAACATGATAATTGAGTGTTCCTGTTTTCCAGTGTTTCCTTTAATTAATGATATTATGATTATATTATTTACGATAGATATGTGTGTTCAGAACAGCTACTAGAAAGTATATAACAAATATTAGTAACAGAGTTGATGAATTACCTTGTCTTTTTCCACCCACAGTAGATAATTTAACTATACTCAAATGCAAATTAGGGTAAGTAGTATTGTTAGTATTATAACAGTATGTTAATAACTATATGATTAGAAATAAAACAATATCCCTGGAATTCAGCATTTTACACTGTTTGGTATCTTCTATATCTTTTCAGCATAGTAGAAGAGTTACTAGGATTAGATTTGTGGGATTCCAGTAGTACACCACAGGAAGATTTAGCCGAAAGAATTTTGCTAAAGCTAAGAGTAATATAGATAATTATATTATAATTTTTACGATTTAACTACAATTTAATTATTTCGAAAAGATATATTGTAGACTGAATTATTTCTAGGAAATATTCTTTAATTCAACTAAATCGTATGGAATGCATAACATATTTTGAGTACATGTATATAGCATTATGGTAAATGACGAAAGTGTAAGCATTGCCTGTTGACATCCAATATTTTTATATTTTAGAGTGATTTAAGACAGTGGTTAAAAGTAGAAATGGAAGAAGTGAGAAATCATAGTGTTATGAAGGATGAAGTTATGACAGAATGTACAAAATGTGTTGATATCATTAATAAATTAACATCGCACTGTACACAACTAGGTGTAATAATTACTTTCTATAAGGCTTTTAATATCAACTATTACAGAGCAGTAATATTAATAGCAGAAAATACAGTAAGTAACCCTTTACATCATTCATATCATCTTCAATTGAAGACTTGATCTCGCTTTAACTACGTACATCTTATCGTATATTATGTTGTGAAACTCGCAGTCGTTACTTCAGGAACATGCATTTATGTGAGTTTCGTGTATATGAGTCTAACCAAACTCGCATTAATACATAAATACAGAATATCTCCCTATTTATTCCAAAACAAAACTTGTGCGTATCTATTATGTTACTTAATATAAACACATAACTACAAAAACAGGTGTTGACTATAGTATAGGTCAATATACCAACTTCCAACAGTTTGCTGTAATGCCTTTAATCCTACATAATTGTACATATCCGCCAATATTACTTTGTTGTGAACTATTGTTTTGTAAAACCGATATACTATGTATTTGGCAATAAACAATTACAATTATACAATTACTATATATTTTCAAATTGTATTTTGTCGTTGTTTTGGATGATGCTTAGTGTCAAAGCAAGTTCTTGTCTTATTTTCTATTTCAGATAATGAAAGAGGTTAGATCTCAGATGATAGAGATGGATAGATATCAGACACGATATCATTTTTACCCTGTAAATATCGCTCAATCTAGTAAGCTATCATTACAGTTATATCTAGCTATAAGAAGATTTTATGTAATCGCCAGAGAAACACTTACTGACAGGTTAGTTAAGGACGAATTTCCTCTTTAATTATATTGTCCGTAAATTAATACAAACTGATGAAAACGTTTTGAGTATTGAGTATTAATTAACAGATTTAAGGAAGTTGCCTCCAAAATATAAAACATGGTTTTTAAATATTGAAAACAATATTACCAATGCATGATCAACTTTTTGGTTCATTGGTACTTCATGAAAATTTCACGAAGCATGATACGTTTTGGAAATTGTCAAAGCTTATCCCAGAAATGGATAACATCAAATGCCTTACTGAAACTTTTGTTTTGAATGAATACTGTTTTCTTTGTAATTTTCAGAGACTTGTTTAGAATATCATATAGTCAATATCAGTCCTGGTTTCAGACAACGCTGGTGTTTTGGTTACAGACATTCAGAACACAATGCATATCTCGTGTAGAAAAAGCTCTAGAAATAGACAAAGATGTAAGGAATTGGATTTTTTTATAAAGAGTAAAACTTTGTTAAAACTGTTCGCGACATACGTTACGATCTGTATTCCATAATACTATGTTTCGTAATACGATGATAACATGTAATCTGTATATCCGCAATGCAAAATTAATGTGAAAGTAAGATGGTTTCAATACTCGAACTTCTTTAATTGGCCGACGCTACAAAAGAAACATAGAATAAGATCTTCCGAAAATTGTGGATGACGAAACTCACTACTACAATTGAGTATATTGAGGAACCACAGGTTTGGCCGAATACTAGTACATTATATTCTTCGCGGTGGTAAACACAGATATGAAATGTATGAATGCCGATTTCAATTTAGTTTGCAAATAGCATTGCTTTGCAGGGAACATCACCCACCCCATCCCCTCTACAAAAAAGTGCATATAATTTGTGATTCTATAACGTAGGGATGGTGATCCAGTCACAGGCTTGACAACAATGAGACACCGTGGGTTTTTAGATAACACGCGATGAAAAATAATCTCTCCACCCTGTTCTACATAGTTATAATGGTATATAATTAGATTATCAATGTAGTTGTCGAGATTATCAATGTAGTACAATAGTTGTCGTGATTATCAATGTAGTAAAACGGACCTTATATTATAGTTAAGCTACACGGCATCTATAATAAGACTCGTATTATATAATATTTTTATGTTTTAGGTTGTCTTGGTTACATCGCTCGTCAAATTTTCTAATTCATCAGTTGATACCCTATCCTGCTTTGCCAAGGTATGCTTCACGACTTTAATAATTTGTATTTTGGGTAATTTTAGTAATTGTTTTTCCCATGTTGAATTAACAAGGAGGGCTTAACATACTGTTTGCTAGCTATACGAGTTCTTCAAATGAGAAAGGGTGGTTGGATGGTCGAATGGTTAGCGTGTGCGCTTTGTATCATAAGGTCTGTCATTGAGTCAACTGGCGGGGTTTCGATTCCCCGGTTGTACGTGACAAGGAGTAGGGGCGTCTGTCCATCCTCGTGGGTTTTCTCCGAATCCTCCGATTTCCTCCCACTGCTAAAGACCCCTACGTGCAAGCGAATTATTGAAATAAAATTGAACCATATGTTAGTCCCGAAATGACCTAGTTTGTGTCGAGTGGACGTTAAACCCCATTTCTCTCCCAGTCTCAAATGAGACATGGTACCGGGTGTTCTAGAAACAGCATGTATACTCCGTGCATTCTTAAAATATAAATGTTTCTACTTTATTTGACGGACTTCTAGAAATAAGTCTATTTGAACAAAATCGCGTTATTAAGGCTATATCTTGTAATATTCCTTTATTAATTCGGAAGTAATGTTTTATCTCAGATAACAGAAGAATGGAGAGAGATAGATTATCAGTTACCTGATTTAGCTATGATGGGGGTTACAAAGATAACAGATGTATGTATAATTTTACACAGATTCAACACAACCGCCATGTGACTTTAATGGTTATATGCCTACAGCCTAAAATCTAACAACTAGTTTATCTGGCGAGATTAAATAAGTGACGTTACTATTGTCGGGCGTTCTGGTCTAAGGGAGAAGTATAGAGGACGATTTTATAGATCATTCTCAAATATCAGCGGCAATGTCATAATTAGGAATATATTGGTTACAAAATGCAGTTAAGAGCGTGGTTAACTTAAAAATTATTTGGTTCATTATGATAATTTCAACTTTAATAGATATCAGTATGGAAACAAATGCGTTAATGTCTACGCAATCAAATTTTTAAATTAAATGAGATGATTGGGTAGCACAGCGTTTTACATGCGAATCATTACAATTTAGTACTAAATTATTTTCGTAGAAATTGGACGCTGCAATTTTGATTGCCTAACAACAAGTTCCGATCCTAGTTATGGTATTTACTGGCTATATATGCACCCGTACCATAAATTATTATATAGTCACTTACGTTGGTATAGTAATATTTGAATATATCTATTGCAGTTAATATGTGATGGTGCGAGAATGTATGCTGATAAAATACATAATATTTTAGAGAGAAATTGTTATTATGATACACATGAGGAACAATTCGATGTTCATGATAGAGTAAGTTGAAATTAATTCGGGGTTGGGGCGATTGATTTAACGCGTCTGTCATTTAGTCAGGTGGCGTGTTGTCGATTTCTCCCTTGAGGGTGACTGAAAGTGACAAGGATAAGGAGTAGGATCACCTGTCCAATGTCGTGGGTTTTATCCAGGTTCTCCGGTTTCCTCCCACTGCTGAAGTCCCATACGAGCAAGCGGATTATTGAAATAAAACATTGAACCATATTATGTTAGTCATACATGTTACTAATACGCTGTTTAATACTTTCTAATTTAGTTCTTCAATCAATTGTAGACTACTTGTCATTTTGTGATTTTTTGTCGATAGTTTTTGAAGTGTCTGTCTCTTAAAATTACATTATAATTTCGTTTTGCTCGTTTTCCCGATTTTTAAACGACACCGAGTGCAATATCAAATTTAAGTTCTTCATCAGATATCAGCAACTTTGTAATGTTAATCATGTTTTTCTTTTTTTTTTCAGCTGTGTATTACATTAAATAACATAGAACATGTGAGACAATATCTATATGAACTACCCGAATTGTTAAATTGGCAGGCAACGTCGGATTCTATATCATCAAAATATGAAGACGATTCTGTGGGACAACAGTCTTTAAAAACTTTAAATAGACTATTAACAACGACACAATGTGACATTTTAGTGAAAAGTAAATTCCTATTACAAGAAATTGGCAATAAAATGAAAGTCAACATACAACAAAATATGGAGAACTTGACTAAAGAACCCGAGAGAGTGTCGGTAGGATGTGTTCTTGTATTTAATCGGATCATTAGGAAGCATAATATAAATTTATTATTAAAGATACATTATGGGAGATTCGATAACGAGTTGACAGTTCTCACTATAATAGTTAAAAACTAGATAATGTAAAGGCAATTTGCTGAAAATTTCATTCAAATTGATCCACTATGAACCGAGAACTAAGCGGTTGAAATTTCCGGCTAGCCTTGAACATCATTACTAAAGTCAGTATGATAAACATCATAGTCTTGATTATCCATTTAATCGCTAAATCGTGAAGGAAAGTTATGCAGTAAATCGGATCATAATCCACTAAAGATCGCAGGCTAGCGATGCCATCTAGAGTTGATTATGGTCTTGATAGGTTAATTAATTAATAATTAAGATAACATTTCAGGCCTAAAGAAAGACCTGCAATAGACAGATTTAGCTCTTGCATAATGTATGTTTAAGAAATTATGTGTCTGGAAGCAGACCAGTTCTTTATTCCTAATTCTAATGAATCAGTGTGGTTTGTTTTTGAAAGCTTAAACTGCACTGCAAAGAAAAAATAAATGAAATTGAGTTCACTTCTCATTCCGTCAGTTATGTGAGACTACCTAAGCACAATGTGAAATTTATATTTTGAAATAGCTGTATTTCAAGCAATATAGCAGCAGGAGCAAAGATATATGTATGGAAAAATATCCTATAATTTCAAAATTTAGCATAGTTTTTCTTTGTTTTCTCTTCAGGCAATAGATGAAATCTTATGTTATTTATCCACTAATTTAGAAACATTAAATACTCGACTAATGTCCTCTATATATCCTATAATGTTAGAGAATCTCTTTGATGTGGTGATGACCATATTTAATGAACAATTACAAATTGGGGTAAGTATTAATTAAACAAATACATGTACACTGTAGTAATAAACTGTCTTAGAACGAGTTATAATCGTGTGATCAACAACTCCATGCAAACTAGAGATGTAGAGACATTTTTTGGAGTTTCTGTGATTTTAAGGACTTCGGGGGTATCCAGTTGGAATAATGTCGTGATTACGGTAATTAAGTGTATACAGCTCGAAAATATCCCCCGAATCACCTGTAAACCATGATTTCATGCTCAGGTTGCAAGTGGAAAACATAACTTATAACGTGTGTCCAGGCCCCGAGTTCACAAAGCATTCGTAGACTTAAGTTAAGAATTTACTCAACTTTCAATCACTGTTTATGAGAAATATCTTTGATCCAGAAACACAAAACTTTGCACATAGTTTCTTATTGATGTATTTGATACATTAAAACAACAAATGTTTTATAAAGGGCCATATTTTAGTTAAAATAAGGCGAACAATTTTGAGTAAATTCTTAACTTAAGTCTGAGAATGCTTTATGAACTCGGAGCCTTAGATCTATTTTCAAATCGGAAATTCGTAGGTACCAGAAATACCAAATCATTGGAATGCCGCGAAAGTCTAGGAATAGACCAATAAAATTAATTAGAATTATTCATTGAGCATTACAATTCATAAACGCGCAAGTAACACGCATTAGACGTTATTAATATTCTTATTATTGAAATCTCTTTTTAGTTTAAACTTTTCCTTTTTTTCAGCGAATGCCTGATTATTACCGACATATGAAAATGGTACGTTTTACTTTTAATTATTTGATAAATGTGTCATACAATTCTTAGCATCTTGTTCGTTTACAAGTTCAATTTTTAATAGCTTAAAAGTTCTGATTTTGGGATATTCGTTTTTTATAAAAAGATCTGTCACATTTCGTTACATGTCACACATTCAACAATGGCCATTATCACATCCAGCACATTCACGTACAACCATTAGCGCTTTGCATTTAGAAACCAACTAAATAGAACACTATTTTATGTTAAATCACAGTTTTATTTTAAGACTAATTCGTTTTGAAGTTAGGTAAACAAGTCGAATCTCGTGCCATAATAATATATACTGTGTCACTTCACAATCTATTCCAATAATTGATCTCGATTATTTTGGCGCTAAAAATCCGCTTAAAACAACATCGTGATTAATTTTCTGCAACGTCTTTTATTTTGCGTTTTAAATCACAGCATAGATGCATCGCAAAAGTAAATAAAAAGTGTTGTTATTAAGTACAAAAAAAGATTGCAACAATGTTATTACTATATTTTTCTTAGGCACGTAAGATGGCGATGAGAATCAGTTAAAACCAATGTAAATGTTTAATGACCATATCTAAAGTTTTGATTGTGTGTGGTATTAAGCGCTATATTTAACCTTTATTCTGCCATGTTTTAAATAATAAATCTGGTTTTTTTTAGCATTTTAATTCTGTGTCGTCGTTTTTTATTGAGTGCGGCATGGACTGTAGTATGACAAAGAAGGGGAACTATCAATTAGTAAAAGAAAGATTAGAAGAAAATTCTATGTCCACAGAAGATCTGATGCTGGTGTATTATGAAAACCTCGCCAATGGTGTGGTAAGATTCTTTATAAAGTAAACATGGATCAGGATTTAGAACATTAAGTATATTATTATGAGAAAGTTTAAGTCTCGGACCTATATACCGTTTAGTTTCAGCCCAGTCTAAAGTTTAGAATAACCTTCTGGTGCTAATCATGCTTATTTTGTTTTGAATGGCCTCCTAACTACGGCTAATAGAGTTTAGAAGAACCAGCTTCTAATGCTAACCATGCTTTATATTATTTAGAATGGTCTCCTAACCACGGCTAATAAAGTTTAGAATGACCTTCTAATGCTACCATGATTTATATTATTTAGAATGATCTCCTAACCACGGCTAATAAAGTTTAGAATAACCTTCTAATGCTACCATGATTTAGAATGATCTCCTAACCACGGCTAATAAAGTTTGGAATAACCTTCTAATGCAACCATGCTTTATATTGTTTAGAATGGTCTCCCAAACACGGCTAATAAAGTTTAGAATAACCTTCTAATGCTTTTTATTGTTTAGAATAAAGTTCAGAATAACCTTCTAATGCTGATCATGCTTTATATTGTTTAGAATGGCCTCCTAACCACGGCTAATGGAAGGCGGTGGAAAGTGGTGCCACACTACCAATCTATTTTATCATTTATCCAAGAAAATTAAATCGATATTATTTTTATTTGATCACTATCTTATTAAATACAAATTGTAGATGGTGTTCAATCTACATTGAAAATTATTAGTATTTATTTTTTTTTCTGTATTATAAATTTTCAGTTAAAGATTGGTTGATTATTATTTTATATATTATTGTTATAGAGAACACCAGAAGAATATTTGGGACATTTAGCCGTGAAGGCAGGTTTTATTGAAGAAACTGGAGGCAACGTTTCTATATATGTTAAAGGTTAATAAATTAATCATTACTTTAAATCAATATTAACAATCGTGACATCGACGTTGTGAGGCGTTGCCAATAGAGCATTGATCTAACCAATTTCGCTCATAATTCAACGTCTCATTAACGTCTTGGTCGTTTTCGGCCAAACCAGCTAATTTTATTATATGGTTGCATGCACAATACGACGGTGTGGCTAACCGCACCCTTTTCCAAGGCTTATTTTACGTAGCAAACGTACACACTAATGTGTACATGGGTGGAACGACCAGACTTACATGCTGACTCAGCCCCACTGAACTGGGTTGACCTGTGTTGTTGTCATTAGTGATTAAGGGGTAGTGTCCTTGTTTATTAATATTAGTTTCATAGTTAGCTATCTATGTCGACAGTGGAACACAAAATCTATAATATTTCAATTTCAATATGCGTAAAAAATTCAACGAAGACATAAGGTCACCCAACAAAAGAAATCCAATGAAATTGCCATTATTTTTTAAAACACAAATCAAAGAGTCTTGTTGTCATTGGGTACTGGCAATGTTAATGAATGCATTAGTTCTGAAGTTCAGTATCGCCAATGTTAGCTAATTAATGAATATCAAATTTCTATTTCAGTGATAAGAGGAGTTAATCTACCAGGTTTAGATTCGTCTGGTAAAAGTGACCCATATGTTAACATCTGTATCAAACCAATAACGTTATCCACCAAACACAAAACAAAACGCACACAAATCGTATATAAATCATTGAACCCAACATTTAATGAAGATTTCACTTTGTAAGTAACAGCAATTCACTCCAGTGAACAGGGGCTGTTGATTCCGAACGAAATATTTTGAATAACTATCCCTGACCTGTCAGAGAAAGCAAGCAATGCTCTTTGGACTGGACGAAATAAATAGAGTCAATTGTGTATAGTGTTATTTTTTTTTTTTCGCGAAACCAGTCTAAAGATTATGTAAGATTCAGAATTTGTTGTAAAGATAAAAATTAAGCCTAATCGATCCTAACATGTGGTCTAATACAAAGTCCAGTCGATCCTAACAAGTGGTCTTATACAAAGTACAGTCGATCCTAACAAGTGGTCTAACAAAGTTCAGTCAATCCTAACATGTAGTCCTCTACAAAGTTCAATCCTAACTTTTGGCCTAATGCAAAGTTCGGTGGGCTAATTCGGTAAAATCAAGTCATGACAGCAAGTGAAGTAACTAAATGAGAATAAAAATTGATATTAAAATTCAGTTATAAATGACAGTTCTGGGATCCAATTCCCTTCTTTTAATTCGTATCTACCCTTTCATTTTATTTCAGTAATGCTGTTCCAGAATGTTACATGCATACAAGAGGGGCTGTGATATTATTCACGGTGTTCGACCATGATAGTTTTTCTGCTGATGATTTTGCAGGGGAAATTGCCATTCACATGCCAGCCATAAAAAAACTAGAAGAAAATGAAAACACTGATTCTCTACAGGCTATGATGCTACCATTAAAGAGACCGAAACAACCCAGGCATGGTCCATTTCAGGTACATCACTAACGTCCATTTTAAAACTAATAGGAATGATTGTTGGATTTAGAAGATGGAAGTCGGCCCGAAAGTAGTATGCAGGCAGATGTTTTAATGACCTACGGTACTTCAGTCTTACAAAACGGAAAATTTACCCGTATTTCTTTCGAGCAATTTGAACTTACGCCCAACTCGTCTTGACTTACGCCTGACAGACTTACACGTTACCGCGCCAATCGCCGCCATAACAGCATTCGATTAACCAGACTTTGGAATCCCTTTAGGTTTTTTGGGTTTGGTTAAACTAGACTAATATTAAATGTCCATGATTGATTGGGATTTGAATCTATTTAGGTTAATGATATCAGACAATTACAAAGTTTATAACTGTTTGTTAGGTTAAATGTTCCATGTACTCTGATGGAACTGTTATTCCAAACTCAAGGCACGAAAATAACAGAAGAAACGACAACTATAACTATACCAACTACCTAACACCCGAATGAACTGTCCCTTTTCTGAAAGCATATAGGCAACCGGCAACGGGACATCTGGACGTAATTTTAACAGAGACAATGCAACCCTAAACCTAGGCTATTGATGTCAATAATCAATGTGTATTTTATCCAGTTTATCCATATTTTATCAATTGTATATTTCAGATTTTAACTGAGAGACAAGCTAGTGATAGAATAGCTAAAAGGTTTATTAGTGAAAGATTAAAATTTATTTATAACCAACCGAAACGAACTGATGGTGCATCCAAATCTTCTCTGTGTGGTTTCTTTAACTTTTGACTCAGGAAAAGGGAAATAACTCCATTGCGAAAACTCGAGTGATGCTTTTTTTTAATATCCGAGGATGATTCATATGGCTTCAACAATTTCAGCCGTTCAGGTTTTTTCTTCTTTAAGACTGCTATTTGACATATTGTTGACAATGTGACGTGTCAATCTTATTAAATTGTATTGTGAAATGTTAAAGTGCACCAAAACAATGAACAGAATGGTGTTTGAAAGGACTATAACATATCACGAATTAAATTGTTCATTATATTATCGAGAATACGAAGAGATAATTAATAAACCTTTCCAAAATAATGTGCTTAGATTTTAATCAGACTTGCAAACAAAATACAGTGCGCCGTTTGTATTACAATTTTGCATAGAAAAACTATATGGATAAAATATCAATAAACAATGTTTTGTTCGAGTCGGTGGATCTGGAAAAAACTATTGTGGGGTTGTACGTGTATTTTGTAATACTAATAAGGAAAACAGTGATACAAAAGTACAAAAAAAATTTATTAGCTCTATGAACTTTGTGTGTTGGATAGTGGTATGAAATCTGACATGAGCTCGAAGAATGAATATGTGATCAATCAAATTATTTAAGTAGATATACTAACTTGTAAATATGCAATAAATAATGTCACCTAAATTAGTCGATTTTTGTTTTCCTTTATACATTTACTAATGCTAGACGGGACCATCCCTACTATTCGTTTAATCTCCAGACTTAGTTAATTTAGACTTACCTGTAAGGCGAAAGTTTAATTGTAAAGATGCCCTACTGTTAAAGTGTAATATGGTCATTGCTACCCACTGTGTTCTTCCCTATCAGGGGTCATAGTGGCTAAAGTGGGTAAGACGCTGGCCCCCTAGTTTTCAGATCGCGGGTTCCGTCCCGTTGTTTGCCGAGGAAGTTCATAGGGATTTTCCGGCGGGGTTTACCCTTGTTAGTGGTGTAGGGCGCGGGGCCTGACAAGGACAGCTGTCTAGTAGTTCGGATAGACAAAAATTCGAGGTCCCGTGTACACATTGGCATGCACGTAAAATATACCTTGGCAGTAGAAATTCGATATAAGAGTGGGCCGTAGCTCCGCTGTCCGGGAAAAACTGCTCCAATAGCACACAGCATGGCGTATGCCCATCTTCATTAGCCCAGTCGGAGCAGAACAGTAGGATGTTAAACCCCATTTGAGGACATTACAAAGCAGCATGACCCTGACTTCATGGTTTACGCTGATGACACTCAGATATATTTTTCATTTAAATCCGGTGATTTGCGTACTAATTCAATAGAACAATGTGTAGACTTTTACTCAACGACGGCAAGACAGAGATCATACATTTTTAATCTAAATTTCATAATCAGTCTATTTAAAACAATATTCATAATGGTGGTGAATTTGTACATCCTGTAAATAGGGTTAGAAATGTTGGTTTTAATCTCCACAACGTCTGCTCATTATCATCACACATTATTTTTGTGTGTAAATCTGAAAGTTATACTTTGTATCGAATATGCCGAATTACAAATACCCTAGATCGCACCAACACTGAAAAACTAGTTCACGTGTTTATCACTACTCGTTTAGATATATACTCTTCAAAAAAAGTAGGGAATATTCAGAAACAATACAAAACTTCAGAAATGCACTGCTGTTTTTATTAGAGCTAACCAGTGTATGTTAATAACAGGTCAATTGCCTACACATGAACATAAGCAGTTCATATGGGCGGCTTATCTGACGGCCCCATTTCACTCGCAAAGAGATACACCGTCAAAAGTGAAAATGGACGTTTTTGATTTTTGTCTTAATAATGAGTAATTGCTCCACCAATCCTCAGATATTCAGCAATAATAATAATATATTTATTTCGTACTAAATTGAGTACACAATACACAAATACTTACAAAACTATGAGAAAAGTAACAAATATACAAAAAATATACATTCTCATAGTTAAATGTTTAATATGTGGACAAGTGATGAATAATTTCATTTAAATTGTTTTTATCCGTTTTACAAAACGTTTGATCCCTTAATAAAATCATATCATTTATTGCACTTACAGTTTGCATAGTAACATCATCAACATTATCGATTGATGTTAGTTTCTGTAGTATAATATGGACACACAATTTACCTATGTCGTACTTATTGATATTATATCTGTATGAAATTAAATTCAAGTTATTACATGCAGACGACAAACTACCATTTAAAGCTAACTGACCACATATAAAAGTAGCCTGATTCTTGCTACAAAGTACTGTGTGAATAAATTTAACAAAACGTTTCAATAACTGAACTTTTATAGGATAATCCGAACATATCAGATTTAATAAGTTACTGTGGGCATGTTGAGGTAAATTCCATAATCGTCGAATGCACTTTCTCCATGAACAATACAGCTTACCAATTGACTTATGCGAATAGTCTAACAATTGGGATCCATACAGAGGCATGCAATAAGTTTTGAACAATTTATATTTAAGAGAAGAGTAGGCATATCGAAATTCACTTAATCAACCGTCCAATCACGATTTGGGACAATCTGACCCACTCGCATAGCAGTGCCACGGCCAATTCTTGCAGTGTTGTCGGTTGACGTTGACGTCGACGAACACGTCTCCCGATCAAATTAAACGTAACACACTAAAGCAAAGATACGCTTAATAGTAAATCTTATGCAAAACCCGATAGTAAAGCAAACATGGATAAATAAACCAGCACGCGGCAGTTTTCATCAACCCTTCCTCCTTGAAGTGTTAAATTTGACAATGAACCCCTCCCACGTATATGGCGCTATTGCGTGTCGCATGTGCAGCTCAGTGGTTATGTTGGGGCGAAAAGTTCTTCATCTGTGAACATAATCTCAAAGCATGTCAAGTGTCCATGACTATTTATCATATCACAACCTGTATAGGTATTTGCATTTCAATATCCCCTACTTTTTCTGAAGAGTATATATTGCTCACTACATTGGTTACCTGTCGCACAGCGAATCCATTTTAAAGTAGGGTATTTAAAGTCTCTCTGTCTATCCATCCCTCCTACGTTTGAGTGGGGGTTTGAGGTCGAGATCACCGATTGGTGTGGACGTAAACTTTATGGATTATTAAACAAAACCAAAATGCTTACAAAAACTACGAAAATGTTGAAATCTATATCATTTCACAATTTTCATCTGCTACATTTCTAAATTGGAGAAATTCGTCACTACTGGATTAAAATAATTCTTATCTGGTTGAAAAATTACCGTGTATAAAATCTGTATAAAATCCCGCAATGTCAAAAATCACGTCGTTTGGTTTACTGTTGACATTGAGACCTCGTGTCTCGGGCGCGCAGCAGAGTTTCGAACCAAAGGGACTCGTTGCCTGTCCATCTAAATACGGTCCATGATAGAACTAAGCTCAGCTCAGCTACTCATACGTACGCGGCGCGAAAATCTGGTAAAACTCTAATACTACATTGACGCAACGTATCACTTAACGACACGGATGGGAAAATTCCGCTTGCCAAAAGTCTCTAATTTCTGGTCCGTATCGCGTATCCGTAACGATTTTGCCAGTGCGGTCATCAATGTGTGTGTATTTCTCATACGTGATACGGCACACGAATACGGCAGCACGTATCGGACGGCTTTCATACGGAAAAAGTCCCTATAACATCGTCGTTTTTTTTACTTTCAGACGCTGAAATGTTGTACCATAGCGTTTTTATAAACCTTTGTGTAGGATATCCTAGAACACGAAATAGTATATTTGATGTGTTTTGAACCATGGTGAAGACTGGAATTTAATCATTATTATTGATGCTTGGGTTTTTTCTCGGAATTTTCATATTTTTCCTGTCTGTCTGCATGCTGGTTGATCTACGTGCTAAATGTAGGGAGGTGGGACCTTGCAAATCTGTAAATGATGTGATTATATGGTAAAGGGGTATAAACTTTCTGAAATGATACATAAGTAATATCAAAAATGCTGTTGAGTCAACTTTACTCCATCCAGGAATTTGTAGGCTAGGCACTTAACTAGGGGTGGGACGATTTATCCAATACTACCCAATACTACCCAATACCACCCAATACCACCCCAATCGTGGGAAATATACTTCATATGTGATTACCGAGGTCTGGCTATTCCATTTGCCTCCCTATATCAAACAAATCTAGCAAATAATAACCCAATACTACCAAATACTTATCAAATACTACCCAATATGATATATTCGATATTTTGCAGAAAATTGAAATTTTTAAACAATTATCTCCCTTTACAACCGCTAAAAAGATTTTAGATTGCTACTCTGATTAATCATCTTCTTTGCCTTTGCAATTGGTTTCCAAGACGACAAACGTAAAATAAGAAAAACAAGTATGACGATATACCATATTTTATTCCCAAAATGGGTTTTCTCGGGTCCTCCGGTTTCATCTCACTGTTAAACACCCCTTCGTGCAAGCCAGTTAATGAAATAATATTGAACTATATGTTAGTCCCGAAATTACCTAGTTAGTATCGATTGTTTGTATCTATTTTAAAATTAATGCTTTAACAAAACAATTGCATAATGTTTATATTCATTTTTTCATGTCAACTATTAAATTATTGCGTATTTACTGACTGCAAGATGTTTTATTTTAAAATTAACGAAATTGCACATGTTTCTTTCCAGTGTGTAATTCTCGACGCGACACATCTCAGTTCGTCAAAACTATCATTTGCGGCCTGTTACAGCTCTGTCGGTTTCTTTGATAATATAAATAAAACAGAACTTGATTACCCAATCAACAAATACCCTAGATCGCACCAACACTGAAAAACTAGTTCACGTGTTTATCACTACTCGTTTAGATATATACTCTTCAAAAAAAGTTGGGAATATTCAGAAACAATACAAAACTTCAGAAATGCACTGCTGTTTTTATTAGAGCTAACCAGTGTATGTTAATAACAGGTCAATTGCCTACACATGAACATAAGCAGTTCACATAATTATGAAGTATATTTCCCACGATATATCTCACTATTTTTGAAAAAGTAATATGCTCATTTGACACCATTATGTTGTAGTATTGGGTAGTATGTGGTGATATTGGAGTGGTATTGGAGTGGTATTGGGTAAATCGTCCCGCCGGATTGGTGGAACAATTACTCATTATTAAGACAAAACTCAAAAAACGTCTATTTTCACTTTTAACGGTATTTCTCTTTGCGAGTGAAATGGGGCCGTCAGATAAGCCGCCCTTATGAACTGTTTATGTTCATGTGTAGGCAATTGGCCTGTTATTAACATACACTGGTTACCTCTAATAAAGACAGCAGTGTTTTTCCGCAGTTTTGTATTGTTTCTGAATATCCCCTAGTTTTTTGAAGAGTATATATACCATATTTGAATTAATTTGGCTTATTTTATTTATCATTACTATCATTCATTTTTATACGCCCAAATTTTCATGTGGTCGTATATTGCCGTCGCCCCTGTCCGTCTGGACGTCCGTCCGTCCACAATTTGTTTGTGGACACTCTACAGGTCACAATTTTTTCCCGATTTTGACGAAACTTGAAATATAGGTCTATTTCCCAAAGATCTCAGTTCCTGTCGATATTGGCATGAATCGGATCATAACTGCATGGATTATGTCCCCTGATTGTACGAAAAATCATGTTTTTAACTTATGGACGCTCCAGAGGTCACAATTTTTACCCGATTTCGACGAAACTTGAAATGCATGATTATATTCGCGCATATCGGATCGTAACTTCCCGAATTATGGCCCATGATTTTATGAAAAATCGCGTTTTTGAGCTTGTGGTCCCCCAAGAGGTCACAATTATTATCCGATTTAAGACAAACGTTCGCATATATAACCATTACTTACACCATAATGTTGGTTGAGTTGAATTCGTGAAAATCAGACTAAAACTGCCGGACAAAATGACCGTCCCTCGTAAGCAAATAGTGTAAACATCTGGTATACCAATGTTGTGGACCCTCTAGAGATCACAATTTTCATCCGATTTTGATTAAACTTGAAATTCATGTTTGTAACCCAAAGGTCTTGGCTCCTGTCGATATTCGCGCATATCGGATCGTAACTTCCTGAATTATGGCCCCTGATCGTACGAAAAATCACGTTTTTAGCTTGTTTCCCTCTAAAGGTCAAAATTATTATCCAATTTACAAAAACGTTCGAATGTATCACCGTTACAGCGTAATGTGGGTTGAGTTCGAATTTCGTGAAAATCGGACTAAAACTGCCGGACAAAACGGACGCCCCTCGTAAGCAAATAGTGGTAACATGTGGTATATCAAACTTGTGGACCCTATTTTCATCCGATTTTGATTAAACTTGAAATTCATGTTTATAACCCAAAGATCTTGGTTCCTTTTGATATTCGTGCATATCGGATCGTAACTTCCTGAATTATGGCCAATGATTATACGAAAAATCACGTGTTTACTTGTGGTCCGACTAAAGGTCACAATTATTATCCGATTTAAAAAAAAACTTTCGAATATATCACCGTTATACTGTAATTATATTCTAATCTTTATTGTATCTGATGAAGGTCGATTAAAGACCGAAACGTTATCATTAAATCTCGCCTAAATCTACACTAGCCTCTGTTCTTGTTTGGGTTAGGGGTTCCTCTACTTACTTATAACTATTTTAATTCAACAGGCAATTCGTTTTTTTTGCTTAGCTACTTAGCATATTTCAAAAACAAATCAGTTTAAAAAGGTAAGCAAATAATGCTATGAGGAAATATATTTTTAATCGAATGTAGGGTCATAAATTATAAGTAATATTATAGGCACCTCTTACAGTGATCTTCTAACGTGCCCGCTTTAGATCATAAGGTCTGCCATTGAGTCTAGTGGCGTGGTTTCATTATGTTTTCTTTAAAATAGTGTGAATTATATACCGTTATTACGATATTCCTTTATGCCTAAAACCACGAAAATTTGACAACTGTGCTTCACATCACTGTTACAATCCGTAGATAATCAAGCTATGTACCTGTTATTGACGGTCGCGGCATAATCATTAAGGGCAAGGTAAAGTAACACCATATTGTTGCAAACTAGAAATGGTTCTACTACTTATATTTTCCGCCTTACTCCAGCCACAGCAGTGGCTCGTCCTACGGCGTTCCTTTGAGCAAGTTTTTTTTAGTCCAATGACTACAAAAAGTTTACTGGCCTATAGCTACCCTAAATTACATATAAACTGACCCCAAATTGTACTGCATAGCTTAACATAAATAAACCAATTCCGATTGAAATAAAGGTGAGGCCTTACCGCATAATTATATGATTTGATATGATTTCTATGATTTCTCTCCGATCCAACTTAAAACGTCCGACCAGTCAGAAATAGCATGCGCACTCATCTCACGTGATCATACGTCACTTTCCATAATAGCCTTCGTGTCCATAATTATATGCTAATGACTTTAGCGTCGGAAAAAATGCCCGAAACAATCTATAACATTTATTATGATCTAATATTCTCTGATTGTAACCAAGCGTTATAAGGGAAGTGATAGACGGGGTTAACGCGTCGCGGTATTTGGCGAGATTTCACCTGGTTGGTGTCATGGTGGCTTGTACATTATAAGAAATATCGCTTCGAAAATGTAGAACGCATTACCACAAAGAAAAACTGCCTGTTAACTATTTTAGTGGTCCAGTCTTCACTATTTGTGATAGAATTACCTATTTAAATACAAACCGTAATGTTTAGCGTTACACATTTGTAGCTAGTTGCAAACTAGTCTCGACACCAACAAGGCTGAACAGAATAGTGTCCCTTGGATACAAAAAACCACACCAAAATAAACTATATTATCACTCAATAATACATTCTACAGTAGATATCGCTTGTGTGATGAATTTCATAATCTACTGCGATATCCTATCTCAGGAGATATCGCTTTAAATGAATCTGATTGGTCAATCAAAAAGGAACCACTTTTTTTTTATTTTCAAAGAACAGTTCATTTTTTTTTATTAAAAGTAACTTCTTTTTTGTTAAAAAGGAACTATTTTATTTAATTGGCCTTGATGGAAACACTGGGTCAATATAAAGGACTTTGCAATGGTTGAATTGCTGTCAAAAAATGATGCATCACTACACCGTAATGTAACCAGGTTCAGTAAAAGTGAAATCTATAGCAAAGTATTATATTTTTTTATTTGTGCATGTAAGTGATTTGGTGATAAATAACATCTCCTACTCGTGATTTTTGATATCAAAAAATATCAACACTTCATATCTTTATACGAGCGATTTGAATACTCGCTAAACTGACAGCGTTTACCGTAAATTTATATCGATTTGTAAAGGTTTCTTTTACACCACCATACAATAACAATAAAAAAATGAATAAAAATAAAAAATAATGACTTTTGAATTTGTAACTTTAGAAACTATGAAGCCAATATACCATTCAGCACTGCGCAGCTACAGGGAAATCACAAAGTCTCACACAGATGCCTGAATATATACTACAACCACTAAGACTTCAAATAATTGATTCATATTTACATCTATATTAAAATTCTCAAATATTACAATAACTATATTTAACCACTTACTTTAAAAAACGTAATAAGACAGAAACACACTTTCGTAAACAACCAACATCATCTCACTTTCGTAAACAACATAATCACGACTACCGATATTTAGATTACTACATTGATCGATCCAAGCCGTTCCATGTCGCTTAACAGGGGCGTGTTGGCAGCTGATTTTGAACAAGTAACAGGATCCCATGGGGATGCAAAGCCAAATATTTATATCGTTATACACGACACCCAGTAGTTTTGGACCGTGTGGAACCTGCTAAGACTAAGAGTGGATTCGTAGATTATTATTTCACTTATATATATATCCATGATTTTGTCATTTTTCTTCTTTTTTTTTCTTTTTTTTTTTTGTTAATCTTTATGAAATCTTTTAAATTTTGGATATAGTAGGATATATGCTTATGTACTTGCTACTACGAGCAGTCTACCGGGGAAATTTTAGTAAACCCGTGTGTGAGACTTACGCGTCAATAATCTACTCATTTGTTAATAAATAAGATATATAAAATAACATTTGGACGTCATGTGTAAATATCCAATTTACGATATGTAAGTAAGAAGTAACATTCCTTGATATACGCATATTAGCCTAAGAGTTAGAATTGTGTAGCAGTGCATTATCCCCAATACATATTCTTCACAATGAACAACATTAATATAAAGAATAACAAATAAAGGTCTATACCATTTAATGGAGTGAATATCGACGTCTAATTATCTAGACTGGACTGGCTACTACATGTATTTAATTATTATTATCATGAAATAAATGGTTAGCCATTATTCTCTTTATTGTAGAAACAGAGTGAACTATACACAATACACAGAAAACCCTTCTATTGAATAGTATTATATTATCGAGCGATGTTCCAGTTAGGAGTCTTTATCAAGAAAATGATATAAATAGTCTTCCGTGCTCTTACAGTTTAATTACTAAAAGTGATGTTTATGAGTTTTGAGTGGCAAAGCTCTTTTATAAGTGTCATTATGTATCGCTATTACAAAAATATTATATAACGATGCATTCATATTATGGAATGTAGTGTACTTTTAATAAAAATAAATGTTAAAGTCAATGAAATATTTATACAATTGTGTTACTAAATATAAAACATTTTGAACTTGATAGAGGCTACAGTTTTATACGGAAGCTCAAATACGAACTATTTTTTTTTATTTTTAGATTTCAAATTTGTATTTATAATTAATAATTTTGTAAATTAATTTATAATGTTGTAAATTAATTTATAATTTTGTAAATTAATTTATAATTTTGTAAATTAATTTATAATGTTGTAAATTAATTTATAATGTTGTAAATTAATTTATAATGTTGTAAATTAATATATAATTTTGTAAATGAATTCATAATCTTGTAAATTAACTCATAATTTTGTAAATTAATTCATAATTTTGTAAATTAATTCGTAATTTTGTAAATTAATTCGTAATTTTGTAAATTAATTTGGAAATTTGACCAGGGAATACTTTAAGGGTTCTTGAATTTCCTGCAGAGGTACTGCGTTTATTCCACTCTCAAATACTGGATGGAATAATGATTTAGAAAAAAGTTCAGTACGACATCTTATGTGTTTTACTTTATCTTCGTTTCGAAGGGAATATCTTTTTGTTGGATCAAGATTTGTGAGATTCTTGAGTTAATGAGTTAGATTATTGATAATTTTGTATAGTAGTTTTAATTTGTGTCTTTTCGTCTTTCTATTGAGTGGAAAAAACCGAGTTTCTGCGTAGACGGAATGATGGCTAGTACACCTTGCACCACGTAGTACCTTACATTTTAAATAATATTCTTTGCGAAGTTTACATAGGGTTGACACTTTACAAAAGGGTACTCCAATTGCGATAACTGTATCCATTTAAAAGATTTCCCTGTTATTATACAGTTATCTGCCACACTAATTAAATACAACAAACGGCAAGGTAAAACGACACAGACCAAATAAAACATGTTAAATAAATAGATTTGAAGCAGGTGTAAATATTAGCAACACCCAAATTGATAACGCAAACTGAAGTAGAGTACACGCGAATTGAGTTCGTGTTTTAATTCAACTGATCTGTAGGACGAGCCATTCCAGTGTTTCTTGGAGTATTGAGTCGTTTTCGCTTTGCATCACGTAGTCCGGTACAATGTAAATGATACACTTTAAGAACTTTACAAGGGTTTGTCACATTATAATGTCCTAAATTCCTGAAGGCCCAAATTGACATATTTTCAACACCATAATCAATGGACCGTACCGTTAATTCTTTTTTAACTTCCGCTGGAAATTTCCCAATTGGCACAAAAATATAAGTATCATGAGAACCACCATAACGTTTATCATGACAGCTGTTAGAAGAGGCCTGTTTCTGCATGTCACAATGTTTCTCTTTTTTGCCATGTCTGGTTAAAACATACATCAACTTATTTTTCACCATAACATCTTTATTAATCAATTCAAACCCTTCTCCCGGATAGACATCAGCAGGTGTGTACATTGCTATTTTTCCTTGAAGATTATCATAGGCAAATTGAAAATACGAGGTGTGTGCTTGTGGATTAGGAACACGATAGAACAATAATTTGTCCAAGTTTGTCTTAATTTTCGATTTAACATAATCAACTACTGCCGTTTGATTGTATATAAAATGGACGCGATATATACACGCGTGGTTGAGAGTCCTCTGTAATCCGGTTATAAATTCTGACATTCGTTCTTTTATCTTTTGTGGTGTGTAACTGGCGTAGCTAGTTGTATTTATGTCCTTATTTGTGAGTAAAGGCATTGTACATATTGCATATATCTGTGGTGGTCTCCACGATTGGTTGTTTCGTAAGCTTGGAACTGGATTGATCGCTGTTGGTTTTATTGAATTAATGAGGTAGAAGTAGCTGCTTGATACGATGTAAATAATTATTAGTATTACCATTAATAGAAAAATACCGATAATAGCTTTTCCCTTCATCTAAAACAAAAATACAAAAAAAAATAAACTCTAAAAATACAATTACACTACAAAAGATAATATATAAAGGTGTACACTGGAATGAACTCCCATTACAGTATCTGGACTCTGAATTGCGAAATGTTCTGGCTAACGTAGTAACGTAATGAAACACTTTTCAGTCATATACACAATCTAGGGACCATCTAGTAGTGTAATCAACAGTAATTAATAATTACTGCAACTACTCATTTAACTACGTTATTTCATACCCTTTCTTCCATTTGTGCACCAGAACTAAGACTTGCCATCAAGCGTTACTTATTGTTCTTCTTTGGGGCGACACTCTTCGAAAAATGCCTCGGGCCCAGCCAATGACTGTACGATCGACATGAAGCTTAAACAATCGAATGACAGACTTTATTTTGGATATTACGCCATGCTCTGCTCCCGATGAATATACTATCGAGCTGGTTGTTAACAAGAATCTCAATTTTGTAACGATATCAAAGAAAGTCTGTGTATACATGTCTTGTAATAACGTCCACTCTCCCTAATCATGGCTAATGTTATCTGGTCCAAAGCATCAATCAATCAAATGGTTTATCGCTGTTTAGCCTTGTTGGAAAACGATAATCAGCGAAAGAAATCAAGGCATTCAGCTATTAAACACATACACCACGTTTGAACATTTTATTAAATATTTTCTACGTGTAGATCTTATATATATACCATATTTGTATTAATTTGGCTTATTTTATTTATCATTACTATCATGCATTTTTATACACCCAAATTGTCATGTGGACGTATTATGCCGTCGGCCCTGTCCGTCTATAGGTCACAATTTTTATCCGATTTTGACGAAACGTGAAATATAGGTCTATCTCCCAACGATATAAGTTCCTTTCGATATTGGCATGAATCGGACCATAACTGCGTGGATTATGTCCCCTGATTGTACGAAAAATCACGTTTTTTGCTTGTGGACACTCTACTGATTGTAATGATATGTGTTGACAATTGTGCGTTTAACCCTATTTGTACTTGCGCAAGGAGTCTTCGACTGTATCAATAGAGTTAAACACAGTTTAGAGTTACACATTTGTAGCTAGTTGCAAACTAGTCTCGACACCAACAAGGCTGAACAGAATAGTGGCCCTTGGATACAAAACACCAAAATAAACTATATTACTCAGTCATAATACACTATTTCAATGTCAGTACCCCTTCAAATCGCACACCCGCGTGTTATCGTGTAAACCACAATTTCAATTCCACCACTTTCTTGTCCAATCGCGGTTGTTACAGCAGTTACACAAAACGATAAAAGTAGGGGACAGATCTATGTAGTACAGTAGTCGAGTCTTAGATTTTCAAGTTGCTTTACAAGTTGCTTTACTGTTTCCATGTAGTGTGAGATTTACGCGTCCTTCCCACATAACAATATGATGTTAATTTTACGTTACATTTACGTAAAAATGGTCAGTCAGTTTACCATCATTTTGCTCATCTTTTTAACGATAATTTTACGTCAGGAAATGACGTTAATTTAACGTAAACTTTACGTCATTTTTACGTTATATTTACGTCATTTTCTGACGTAAATCTAACGTAAACTTTACGTCATTTTCTGACGTAAATCTAACGTAAAATTTGCGTAAAGTTTACGTCATTTTCGTTAGATTTACGTCAGAAAATGATGTAAACTTTACGTTAGATTTACGTTAGAAAATGATGTAAATATAACGTAAAAATGACGTAAACTTTACGCTAGATTAACGTCATTTCCTGACGTTAAATTGTCGTTAAAAGGATGAGCAAAATGATGGATATCTAACCGACCATTATAACGTAAATCTGACATTAAATTAACATCATTTACGGATGCAATTCTAATGTCAAATTTTGATGAGCAAAGTTACGAAAATATAACCAACCATTAAAACCTTCAAAATTATTCATTATTTGCGGCAGTAAATGGGAAGTACATTCAACCAATAATCAAATTTTCCTGACCCGTGGGTGAGGCTAAAAATTGAGTGGTCCAGCGTGTGTGCTTTAGATCATAAGGTCTGTCATTGAGTCAAGTGGTTTGTTTCCACACCCAACTTGAACATGGGTTTTCTCTGGGTCTTCTCTGGGTCCTCCTACTACTAAAGATTCCTGGTGCGGATGAATTATTCAACTTGAATTGTATCACTTAGTCCCAAAGGACAGTTTATGTCTATTGGATGTTTTACCCCATTGCTCTCTATCTACATTCTAAATGTATTGCACAGAAAAGTTAAAAATCTAGCAGAATTATATGACAAAATATACTACAAGTATGTATACATATACTTTATTTAAAAGACAAAAATATAATGTTATAAAATACAAAATACACATTTAAATATTAACAGTTTTTATCCACAGCTGTGAAATGAGAAATGAAGACGGGCATATGGCACACAGTGTGCAGAGCTATGGCGTACTCTTATATAAAATTCCAACTGCCAAGGGATCTTTCACACACACACACAATTGAGTTTACACTGTACCTTGTTTTTTTGTCCCTTCCGTATGACTAGTCAGCCATCCATGTCAGGTCCTCTGTCCGGCATCACTGACAAGGGAAAATGTTCAAGAAAAAGGTCTACATTAGCGCTATGAAAGTGTTGATATGCATATAAGAAAGAAAAAACTGGGATATTGACCAAATTGGGCCAAAACCTATAGCCTCTATCTTATTTGCTCAAGGTATTGATGGAATAGGAGTTAACTTTGGAATGAGTGAAATGAAATGGGGTTTAATGTCCTATTCCGACAGGGCTAATGACATGGAAATATGCTATACAGTGTCCTATTATGGAATTTTATCCAGACAGCGGGGCTAAAGCCTACTCTTATATCGAATTCAAACTGCCAAGGGATCTTTCACGTGCACACCAATGTGTGCACAGGACCTCGGTCATTCGTACCATCCAAACGACTAGACAGCTGTCCCTCCTTGTCAGGCCCTCTGTCCTGCACCTCTGACAAGGGGAGGAAACCAAGTCTGGAAATCACGAAGAACTTTCTCGGCCGACACTGGAATGGAATGTTGTGGAATGCTGAATATTGATAGGTTTCGTCCTCTCATGATTCCAGCGTGTAACACAAATTTGAAAAAAATCAATTAAGAATAAACACAGCATCTATTGCATTTGAAAAAGGGAGAATTAACCAAGGAAGGCAAAGTCCTGAAAAGCTGTATATTGATAATGCTTGTCCTCTCACAATCGGAATGATTCACATTTCACACCCAGTGTACGGACAAACAGGGCCAAAATTGATATGTGGGTGTATAAACAAAGATATATACTACACCAATATTACATGTGTTGCAGAATTGGTTTAACACATTTCAAATATAATTGTAACACGGATATTTGCAATGGTTGATCCATGACAAAAGATTTGAAATATTTTGAAGAGACGCAAAAGGTTACGCCATACAGTGTGCTATGAGGGAAATTTTGCCCGGGCAGCAGCGCTATGGCCTACTCTTGTATCGAATTCCAACTGCCAGGGGATCTTTTATGTGCACGCCGATGTGTACACTGGACCTTGTTTTTTTTGTCCCATCCAAACGACTAGACAGCTGTCCTCGTCAGGCCCTCTGTCCTGCATTACTGACAATGGGAAACCACACCGGAAAATCAGGATGAACTTTCTCGGCCAATGCAGGGATCGAACACCCAACCTCAAGGCTAGCGAGTCAGCGTCTTACCCACTTAGCCACATGATCCCCCCTTGGCCAATGTACATGTAGAGATGAATTTTGAGCTACCTTTATATATATATTTCTATTTTTAAAACCCGCGACAAGTATATTTATATCAAGGATGTAACCCTCTATCAGTTAACCAGTCACGGATTGGTTGCATTGGTGAACCGGTTCAAAATATTCGTTTCATATCATACCTGACCTTCAAATCCAGGAATTGTAGCCACAACGGGGATCACGTTGGTTAAGTCGGTAAGACACTGGCTATCTAGTCTGGAGGTCGGGTGTTCAATCCCTGCATTGGCCGAGAAAGTTACTCCAGATTTTCCGGCGTGGTTCTCCCTTGTCAGTGATGCAGGACAGAGGGCTAGACAAGACAGCTGTCTAGTCACTAAAATGGGAGAAAAAAATGAGGTCCCATGAACACATTGGCGTGCACGTACAAGAGCCCTTGAAGTGCCACTGTCCGGGCAAAATTTCCCACATAGCACACTGTGTGGCGTATGCCTTTCTTCATTAGCCCAGTTCAGAGCAAAACAGTAGGACGTTAAACTTTCATTTCACTAGCCACAGCCCTGTTTTCTTTCACCAAAGGGGGGGGGGGGGGGTGGATGGCTGAATGGTTAGCGTGCGCGCGCTGTATCATAAAGTCTGTCATTGAGTCGACTGGCGTGGTTTCGAATCCCCGGTTGTACGTGGCAAGGAGTAGGGTCGCCTGTCCAACCTCATGGGTTTTCTCCAGGTCCTCCGGTTTCCTCCCACTCCTAAAGACCCCTACGCGCAAGCGAATTATGTAAATAAAAAATTAAACCATATGTTAGTCCCGAAATGACCTAGTTTGTGTCTAGTGGACGGTAAACCCCATTTCTCTCTCTCTCTTTCCCCAAAGGGGGGGATCAAGTGGCTAAGTGGGTAAGACGCTGGCTCGCTAGCCTGGAGATCGGGTGTTCGATCCCTGTAAGTTCATCCTGATTTTCCGGCGTGGTTTCCCTTGTCAGTGATGCAGGACGGAGGGACTGACAAGGACAGCTGTCTAGTCGTTATGGGACGAAAAACTGAGGTCCCGTGTAGACATTGGCGTGCGCGTAAAAGATCCCTTGGCAGTTGGAATTCGATATAAGAGTAGGCCGTAGCCCCGCTGCCCAGGCAAAATTTCCCTCATAGCACACTGTATGGCATATGCTCGTCTTCATTAGCCCAGGTTAGGAGCAGAACAGTAGGACGTTAAACCCCATTTCATTTCATTTCATTTCTTTCACCAAATACTTCA